TCTGCAGTTGGCGCCCGTTCTCAAATCCCTCTTCTGGCACTTTCGGATTTCGATACTTGACGCCATCCTGCATTCTGGCGCCCAGGCTCAGACCTTCGGTTTTCAGTTCAGCCCTGAGGCAAATTGCACTTCTGCCCTTGAGACTCAACTTGAGTCCGCTACTTAAGACCGGACTCAAGCTGAGTTCGGGAATTCAGTTTTCGGCCTCAGTAATTGTGCTTCAGTGTGACATGCTACGACATTGTGTTCGGAACGCAAGATTGCGACTTTGCGACTTTGCCACTTTTGTGTCTGCATCCGTCGAGTCGTGTTGAGTGAGCTTGTGTGTGTACTCTCACTCTCCCTCTCTCCCAGCCTCGCTGCTCTGCCTCAGCCCCGTCACAATGTGTCCTTGTTTTTTGTTCTTTTTTTTATCCTTTCTTTCGCAACGTGCGCTCTTTTAGCTCATAGCTATGTGACAATATATTGAAACACCCCTCAAAATTCTGGGGACCCACTTTGGATTGGCTATGAGATGGAGAGCAGCAACCACTTCCTTCAGTGGCAGTCATTGCCATGGAGGATGAGGGCTGCCACAATGGCTGGGAGAGCATGGAGGAGTGGCACCATATCTGGGAGAGAGGGGGGCGCGGGGGGCTAGGGGTGTGGAAAGAGACGTTATTAGGCTATGACCAGTGAGTAAAAAATGTGTTCATCTCACACGGGTGGTCATTGCAAAATCATGCGATATGCAGTGTGCTTGGGACTCTGATGCTGGCATCCGGACTTTGACCCCAGAGGTAGCTGCAGCTTTCCCCTGTGCTCTGCCTCTGGCCGCAGCGAAACAAGGCAAAGTTGGAGAATTCTGGATGAAATGGTGTGTCAAATTGCAATGGTTGTCTTCTCATCCAGGGACATTTGAAATGAGCCCTTCAGAAACCAGGACAGGATTCTGTTTCGACTCTGACATAAACATGACCTTTTTTCCCGATGTCAATAATCTGTTTGCTTAGTTGCCTTACTGATGACATTTGGGTTGCATTGCCTGACAAAGAGTTTACCAAAAATCTTGCTAAGTCGGAACTCTTGTGATAACAAAGTGGTCCTGCAATGCTCATGTTCTGACAGGCCATCATTTGCGGTTTGGCTCTGTGTGTGTGTGTGTGTGTGTGTGTGTGTGTGTGTGTGTGATTCTCTTCTTGCAGTTTGGCAGGCAGGATGTGCAGCGATGGTGTTATCTGCTAAAAAATGCAGAGATGTGTCCTTTGCCGTGAATTGCTATTGAAGAATCGGACGTTGATTCGGTGTGCCTGACATTATGCTCGCTATGCCCTTCACCCATAGGTTGCTTAAGATTGATCTCTATGTGATCCTGCAGTGCAGAACTGACATTACGATGATCTCAGAATTCGTCATGCTTGCCATGATCTTAAAGGATGGGTCGATGTAGATTGATCTCTATGCAATGCTGCAGCACACAACTTTCTTGCGCAGAGCTGTGACATAATGATGATCTCAGAAATTGGGATGTGTTGGTTCTCTATCCGCACCTCGCCATCTCACGTGACTCCTAGCAGGCATGTAATGGCTCGCAAAAGCAGGCTGATCGCCCATGCAGGCAGTCTCCGCAATTCATTTCTCAACGAGTGTGCATCTGTGCATGGAGCAATCTCTGCAATGCATTTCACTACGAGTGTGTATCTATGCATGCCCACTGACAAACAAATGCGACATGCCCCCTCGGAGTCTTTTTCTCTGCTGTCACTTCTGCTCTGGGGTCGTGTGAAAATCCCTCTGCTGCCCTTCTGACATTGTGGAGGCTTTGGTGTCAGGCCTTGAGTTGTTGTTTGCCCTTCTGATCACCCAGTGTTCTTTGCCGGTGCCACTATTTCTGCGTATGTTTTAATATTTTCCTGTTTGTCGAAGGAAGTTAAGTTAGTTAACACTTAACATCGCAAGTGGTCAACATTGCTCGCTTCACAGATTCTGGCTATGCAGAGTAGAAATACTTTGACAGTCTTCAAATGTGGCGTCCAAAAAACCGATGCTCTTGTTTTGTTTGAATGATGTTCTTGGACTGCATGTATAATTGATTGCGATGATCAGATCTGCCAACTGATTGTAAATCAGCCTGCTTCCATGGAAGCTCAGACCAGATATCATTTTGTCTTTATCAAAGCAAAAGCTCTGAATTTTTCTGATTCTGCGGAGGGAAAATACTAATTTTGGGAGTTGCTTCATGCACTCTTTCATCTGAACTACATGTGGATGTGCTGATGAGCTTACACTCTCAACACCTGACCCTCCTGATGGCCCTCTGCATCATGGACATTGTGACTCTTGTAGATGCTTACGCTCACTCTGTAACAATTTGTCTGCCATCTAGAGGTGATCTATGAGAAACTGTGTGGACCTGGGTCTGTGCTGTCGACTGCAGTGCCTGCTGTCTGTGCTGTCCACTGCAGTGCCTGCTGTCTGTGCTGTCCACTGCATTGCCTCTACAGCAGCCAATGTCTTGCAGGTGCACAGTTTGCCCGTTTTCGGCAATCCTCCATGTAACCGCCTTCTGATTCTCAGGCCGCTCTTGTTTTCATGCAGTGCATCCGTCGTCCGTCTTTTTGCCTGCATGTCTGCGCCGTCCCCATTGCTATCCTTTGGTGGGTACTTGTAATCTGTCTTCTGCTACCATTCCCACATGCAGAAGTGATGATGAGTATCATATTCTGGTCGCGTATTTTAGTGCATGTAGTGATCCGTTTGTCACCCCTGAAGCTGTTATCCATGCTGTTTCCTGCTGAAGAAGTGCGGCATTGAAGGTGGACTTCTACAGGTGTCACCCTGTGAGCTGACCACAATCACCGAGGGCGGAATCACTTTCAAAGCTTTGAGGACTGTCAGCACTGTGTGATGAGGCATTCTGCTCTTCAATGAGTTAATCTTAGGCTACCTCAATGCTGGATGTCGGTAATAGTGTTCTTGTATTCTTCGTCTCCTGTTTTTTTTTCCCCCAAAAGCTCTATTATTTTGGATGTCTGGGTTGTCTTGTATGGTCTGAAACAATGTTCATGTCGTTCCATCGGGTGTGTGCGATGTAGCTGTTCGCCCGTAATGCCTGCTAAAACGAGGGCACATTTTCTCCAATATGTGATGATTTTCCACCTCTTTGTGTTCTGTTTGGTTGAATGAAGAGTACTAGTCTCCTTTTGGTGGATATGCCTGAACGAAGGATACTACTTGGTAGCCTCATGAGCCATTTCTCACAGGATCTCTTCTTCTCATAAAGCAAGCTGTTCCCACCACAGCTTTGCGGGCAGCACAGTGATCAGTTCCCGCTGTGCGTTCTATATGAGGCCTATGTTGAACATGCTCTGTACTAAGTTCATAATATTTTATTTGCAATCTAGAGGGTTTTGCTTGATGCCTCCTAAAAGATGCCTCATTTTCTCCATTTTTTGAAGTTTTTCCGATACGTGAGTGATTTTTCCATGTCTTTGTGTTCTGTTCCCCACCACGGCTCTGCTTGCGACACGATAGCATCTGACTCCTTTGCCCCCCTTGCTTGTGACACAATAGCATCTGACTCCTTTGCCCTCCTAAAAGTTCGTAGTATTATAATCATATCATATGGATTGGATTACATGGATGCTGTTCTTCCATGTGCTGCTTTGTACTAAGTTCGGAGTATGAGGTCCATATCATATGGAGTGGATCACATGGATTTTGTGCTGTGTAATGCTTTGTACTACGTTCGTAGTATGGATTAGATGACATGGATTGTGTTGTACCATGTGCTGCTTTGTATCAAGTTTGTAGTATGATATCCATATCATGTGGATTAGATCACATGGATTTTTTAATATGGTGTGCTGCTTTTCGTAGTATTATATCATATGGATTGGATCAGATGGATTTTTGTAACATGTGCTATGTACTATCATACTACTATGTATTAAGGTGTGAGTGCCATGTTCCATTCTGCCTCTACAATGGTCTATGCCCCAGTTACTGTTCATTACATTCCATATCAGTTTATCAACCGATTGATTCTCGTCTTTTTGCCCCCAATATGGAATGGGCTCGCTCTCCTCTCCTCCCCTCCTTCCCTTTCATGGGTGTCGTCAGTTTGGGTCGTGTAATGTTGGGTTAAGTTCTTTAACGCCCTCCCCCTCCTCGCCTGACACTCTCCCTCCCTTAAATATAACCATGTTCTCAAGTCCATCAATATCAGTTCTGTCTTTTTTTTTTGGTAGAAATTGGTGGCCTGTTGCCGATGTTCCCTCCGTGTGGCTATCTAGTATGGGATTGTTAAAAAGGGCCCACCATTCCCGTGTATGTTGGTTGTTATGAAGAGTCAAGGGAGTGAGCAGCATTTTGTGAAACGCAAGCGAACATGGGATCTGGGGCGAACCTTTATGAACCACAGGGCAAACTGCAGGGCCGCATAACCGACTTTCTTTTTCAGAAACTGCCACTTTCTGCAACCACTTGTTACTTTGCTAAGATACTTCTTCTGTGTGAGCAACAAGCAACGCAGGTTGGGCCTGCCCAGTTCTATAGCCGTTAGGCTATGTGTCATGCGATAAAATATCTCTGCATTGGCAGGTGTTTGAATGACCCCTCTGCTGTCAGGTGTCAGACTTAGGTTTACCTTGGAGTCATTTGCTGACTTGCCTTGTTTTTCCACCTCCTACCCTGACCTTGGAAAATGACTGTCTCAACCAGGAGTGATCAATATGCCGAGCACCCGTCTTAACCAACGAGTTTAACGGAACTTTCATCTCTGACATTTGATTTTGTTTGTGCATCCTGATGGTAAAGGTTTTCTTGTGTATGTCCATGTCATCTGTTCCATGTTGTTTTATCTCCATGCTTTGACCGTCTTTTATCTTGTAATTGTAGTTGGAACAGGTGGACTCCCTTGGCATCGAGCAAAATTGCATCGCGAGCTTTTTCTGTCAAGTTTCTATCGGGTCCTTGCATGCTTCCAACTCCATTGCTCGTTGGTGCTTTGTTTCGATCAGACACACTTGACTCAGATGGAGACGGAGTACCGCTTGAAGCTGGAGAAGGCAGTAGCGGACAAGGCGGCGGAAGCCAAGGTAAGAGCGGAAGCTGATGTAGGACAACTGAAGCTGCGCTGCAGAATATTTCATACTCACGTATCTGACAAGTAATATTTTACTGTTTCTGAGTGTCTCGTAAAACTCTGGCTGCATAATAAGTTGTGAAATTTTGCTTAATTTGGCCGCAGGTGGTTTTGCCTACATAGTTATTTTGAGAGAATATTCGGAGACATGTCTGTGGAAGAAGAGCAATGCCTGAGAACAAACAATCATGTTTTCATCACCCTGCCCACTATCCCTCGTCACCTTCCAAACTCACTCATCACCTCATCCCCTAATGAATACTGAATCAATCAATGTTGGAGGGTCATCCTTGGCATTAACGAACCGGTGATTACTCCTTCCCGTTCTCTTGCCATGCTGTCCCATACTCGATAATATTCAACGACATAAGTGAAAATCATTCCGTTCAATGGGCTAATAATCTGCAATATGTGCAGAACTGTCTAACACCAATCAAACAATCAGAGAACTCCGTGCTGCCATGGCTCGAGGTGAGTCTCGTGTCCCAAGTCATGCCCTATGCATCTCTGATGCCACTCTGAAGTCTGCTGATAGAGTATACCTTTCATGGGCTTTCACCAAGGTGCCTAGCAGGCATCCGCCATAACTGTGGATGTCGCTGCCATAGCTCCTTCATAATGTCTACTTGAAGAAGCACCAAGTGACAGGAATATGCTTGCCACCAACTAAAAGAAGTTCTCTTTGTTATGATCCTACCTCATTCATAATGCAATACTCACGTTTCGAGGAAATGCAAGACTGAGCGGAATAGAATGGAGGTTAGGAGTCGTTTATTGCTATTTGTCTGTTGTTAATCCAGTTTTGTCTTTGTTCAGGAACAGCATGTAGCTGGACAGGAGAAAGGGACACTGGACCCCGTTTCCAGTATGAGCCTAATCTGGGTAATGGCCCCAGTCTTCCGGGTTGACATGTGGAGGGATTCCTGGCCTCCTTTTGCTGTATATATAATGAAGCATGCTATTCTTTAAAAAAAAAAGAAAAGAAAAGAATGGAGGTTAGGAGAAGAGGAAGAAATAGACGAGTTTTAACCAACGTCATCTCCCTCTCCTGTCTCCCAAGCTAATCTTCTTCAACCTCCTCGTCTTCCAGTAATCAATTAGTAATAAATGAATGAGTGAACAAGAACCATGCCCGAGTAAATCCCCCTTACTCTCAGCAGTCAAAGAGCTTCCCTTTCAGCCTCACTCTTTTCTCTGTCCTCTCTTGGTGGCATACTAGCTATGGCGGAACATCCCTGCAACCAGCAGATGTGCAAAGGACAGCACAACTGCTTATGTGCCTCTCCTGACTCATGCGCCATAACCACACTCCCAAGTCCAAGACTTGCTGGTACCCCACAAGGGCCTTCTAGGTGCAGCAGCAACCAAGGAAATGGAGATGAAGGTCCACGATAGTGTTATGATCCTGGCCAATTTCGAGATACACATCCATCAGATCGTACAATGCCGCCCAATTGCAGAAAGAAATGAATGAACTTGAGAGAAGAGAGAGGATTAGAAGAAGAAGAAGAAGTAAGAAAGAAGAAGAAGATGATGTACACCAGCATAAACAAATGACAAGGCTCTTCTTCTTCGCCCAACAATCTCCTCCTCCTTATCTCCCCCTTCTCTTATTCATACAAGAAATAATAATACAACGTTGAATGGCTGATCCAGAATCAATGTCCGAGTCCCTCTTCTACTGCAGGTATCACTTGAGATCCACCATAGCCATGGCCGCCTCCCCACTCTTCGCTCTCATAGGCTGAGGCTATGGCGGACTACTAGGCCTTGCCCACATGCCCAAAGGACAACCCAAAGCAGCTATGGCTGCTTTGGCTCAGGCCGCCATGCCCAACCCTGCCTTGAAGCTTCTTGGTGTGGTTCTCCCCAGTTGGGGACTCCTTGCTGCAGCGCCCACCAAGGTGATGAAGATGGCTGCCACCATAGCCAGGTAAGTAGTACCCCTGGCGCTCCTCCCCCTTCCTTCCTTCTTCCTCCCTCGTGTCCTTCTCCTTCCTCCCCAGCAGCGCTGCTCTATCACAGCCAGCGCTCCACTAGTGTGTCGCCAAACTTGCACACCGAAAAAGAGGCCGGACTCTCCGCCCGGCCCGAAGATATAGCGGCCTGCTTTGCCTCTTGGGCGGTGACTTCCAGGCCGCTTGGCCTCCCAAGCAACCGGTACCTCCTCCTTTTTTGGAGGGAAACATCATTGCWGACTCTGATATTGCCCGTACAGGCCCTAGACTCAGACTGGTATCCSCCWRGACCTAGCCTACRCTACTRGGCCTCTAAAAATGCCACTTTTGTCKTCTTCTGCTCGGCCYCCGGTACCTGCACATCTACCCCTTCCAGGTGCGGTACCGGCCTACCCGCTACTTGAGTGCTTTTCCCCGCTGCAACCCCTCAATGTCACGGCCACAGGTAAGTACCTGCCCTGAGGGCCCAATGAACGAGCAAGTGCCCTGACGGGCCACACACATGTTCATGCCAACCAGCACTCAGACAGGCATGGTCACACACACACCCAAGCCAACCAACACTCAGACAGGCATGGTCACACACACACTCAAGCCAACCATCACTCAGACAGACATGCAGTCCAGCAAGCGTGCACACACAGACTTAGTAGCAGGCCGGAAACTCGGCAAGGCATTCAGTCTATGAGCAAAACTCAGAAATCAGCTGTGTGTTTCAGTCCATGTTTGGACGGGTCATCACAATAGCCAAAGGCAAGTCTCCCATGTCGGCTCCCTCTTCTCGACTTTAAAATCTACGCTCTTCCTCTCCCCTTTTCCATTACCCTAGCTTGAGGTACTTCTCCTTCTACCTCCATAGCCTAGGTCTACACCTTCCCACTGCTACTCCGTAGCCATGGAGGTGTTCCTGTCCACCCTCCAACTCTAGAACTCCACCTAACTCACCTTCTGGGCAGAGCGCCAGCATGACTGCTGGGGACGTGTGCCGGCCTTGCTTCCCCTCTCCAGCCCTTCCTTGGCAAGGCACTACTTCTTCTACTTGTGCACCGGGCCTATTGGAAGCTCCTGCCTTTTGCTGGGAGCATCTTTCCACTCGGCAATCCAACCGCAAGGCCTGAACCTAATGTGGAAGCTCCCTAAGCATAGGCCCTGAGTGCTGATGACCACTTTTGGAAGCTACCGGATCTTCTTAAGACGACCGGACTCACTTGGACCTGCCCAAGTTGCTTGAAAATCCCAACTGGGTACTGGCCAAATTCTACGTCTGTCCTTATGAGCCCTGTCCTTTCTGAAAGTCGTCTGGTTTCTAATTTCAGTGTTACCCCTGTAGTTCTACGTATTTCTGATCTACCTCTCCCAGGACACGGAAAACACAGCACAAGAATACAGTTCATACCGTCACATAGAGACTTAGAAACACACAGGCAAACTGCAGTCACACTACAATCACGGAAATCCCAGGAAACCAAGCCAACAATCAGCAGTGCTACTAGAACTGCATAAATGTCAGACTGATTCTGTGTGGGTCATTGCATGTTATTGTTCTGGGTTGGGGGCCTCGACCTGTCTCCACAAGAATGTCCTTGCCTGGTGTTTGGCTTGGGGGCCTCTATGTGTTGTTCACTGGCCTGAAAATGTGAGGTGCTGATGGGCTCCTCGAAACTGTCCTTTGCCGCCTTTTGATTGAAGAATGATGACCTTGCACATTACTCTAATTCACCCTGGTTCTGGTTGCCATTTGGTACCCAGTTCACTAAGTCTCAAAGCTACCCGGTCTTCAGTCTTACTCTGGACTTCCTGAAAAATGCTTTACCAACCAGAAAAGTTCTATCTTTTTGCTGGTTTGACAAGAGCACCAAAAATTGAATAGAGTTGTGCTTGATGTGAAAGCTGAGGGTGGCACTGCTCCAAGGTGGACTGGGCTAGTATGTTCCAACTCCATGCCACTGAACTTCAGCCCTATCCTGGCTGCTAAAGAGAAAATTTCCCAGTGATGCCTACTGCAATCAGGATGCTCCTCTGTGCTGTTGCGTTATGCAGAGAGAAGCCTCTCCATAACCAAGTTACTATAGTGTCTCCTACAACGGGTATTGCACTAGATAAACTTGATTCTCCTCCTCAATTTGTTGCTAAGGAATGACTCTCCTGTTTGCTGATTCTTTCCTCCTCAGTATGCCCTCTGTTCGAGTCCTCCAGCACTGCCAATTGGCATCAGGATGCCCAGGTTGTAACCATGCCTTACAGTGAAAGGCAGAAATAAGGGTATAATCGTAATGAAGCGAAGACAAAACTAAGAAACAAAATGACAAAAACAGCGAGTGTTGCTAATAACTTGCTATGGAATTTAGAAGGTCAATGATTTCGGAAAATGGAGACATGGAGATCCTGAAGCCAATGGCTTCTCAAGCTTTTTGAAGCTTTTTCTGATGAGCATTTGCTGCCTGAAAGCCTGCAAACCGGGCCCACTCGTTTGCCTCAATACAGTTTGTAGTTGGGGCTGTGTCTGTGCTGGTTTGGCTCCATTGCCGAGTTGCAGATGCGCAGCACGTGATCAGGCGAGAGGTAATTGAGCATGGTATGTGTTTTCTGACGAGCAAACGTATGCCTCAATTGATGATACGGTAGCAGGTTTTCTCAGAGAGAATATCGGCAATAGAAAAGGAGGCTGAAGAGGCCAAAGAAGAGCTTGCACAAGTGCGCAGTCAACCGGAGTTGTTATCCCTTGCATGGCGGTCACCGGAAGGACCTTCAGAGCCTGGGTAAGTTTTGAAGACTCTGCCTAACCAGGGGTTTGCCAAAGTTCTAAAAACAGCATTGTTTTGTATGTGATTTTATCTATAGATCCTCTAAAAACATTAAAGCTGATCAGCCGCCGGTGCCTGCACACATGCTAAACTTAGATTTTTATCATCTGATAGTGCGATCGGCGGCAAAAAATGACAATTTAGGCGTCCGAACTTGCTTGAAATTTGGACTCGTGAAGCTGTTGGCCGTTGGGTTTAGTCGATACATAGGGCTGCTGGCCGTCGCATTTAGTGCCCATATAAGCTTGCTGGAAGTGTCAGAGATGTTTTTGACATTGTCAGAGCACAGTAGACATCCCATATTGCACTCTAAATCTCCCTCACCTGGAGATGAATATCGTGGTGTCAGAGAAGCGGGTTCATTCTTTTGATTTTTTTGGTTCTTTTGTTTGTTTTGTTTGTTTTGTTTGTTTTGTTTAAATTGTTGAAAGCGGGTCATGTTGGCCTTGGTTGAGGTCTGCATCTTGAGCCATCATTCTGCAGGTGCACCGTTCATCGAAGAAGCCGGAAAACCTTAGTGGAAAATGTTGCAAGGTGATGCGTGCTGTCTGAACAGTTGCATGGCGAGGACTGGCTGCCACCCACACAAAGTTTGTGCTTGCGTGGCAGACTTTTGTCGAAGAAGTCGGAAAACCATAAGTGGAGAACTTTGCATGGTGATGCGTGCTCTCCGAACGGTGGACTGGCCGGTGAACCACGCAAAAAGTTTGCACGGCGGGTGCAGGCATGCACACACACGCAAACACACACCTGTTCTTGGAGCTGGGGTTTGAACCCTGGCAAAGATTTTGAGGTTGCAACTGATTGATGAGTTAACCTCCTCCTTGCCTCCCATCAAAACCCCCTGGTTATGAAAATCTTGGGTCGTTGCATAGCTATAGGAAAACAGCTCAGTACTGTGTGGTATATATGAATATTTGTTATTGATGTTTTCACTGTTTCTTTCTTTGGATTCTTTATTTGCTATTTGTGTTTCGTAGGGAGGGACAGGAACCTCTTGTGGCTGATTTCCAAGAGGCAAGTTTTCGCAGTCGAGTGCCAGAGATGTCACATGCGGCATTAGCAGCAAGCCTCGTTCGAGAGGGATGGACGGTGAGTTCCCCTTCAACCACCAACCGGTCTGTCTGGGCTTGGTGGCACAATGTACTCCCTTGCTGGCAGGAGCTGAAAGTGTTGGTCTTTTATATGATATGTATGGCTCGGTCCCACATGCTCTTATCAAGCTGTCAACGCAATGCTGGAAATTAGTGTTGTCTTACTACTTTGTGGTCGAAGTTATTGAATCCTTGGAAACCTTGGGTGCATATTTTCAGCAGCCATCATTGCATATGGATTTCAAATTCTCTTCTCTCGGTATCATGCCTTCCTGGAAAGCGAGGTATAAATTTGTGCACTGTAGTGCCCTCAGCTTCTCGAGCCATGTTTACACAGGCAGAAAGAGAAGATGTATTGTGGTGGTGTGATGAGCAATCCAGATAATTGTTACGATCTTGGCTAATTGGCAGTGCAACAACTCGAAGAAAGGCAATGCCGGTCAGTTGCAACTGAAATGAAAAAACTTGGAAAGAGAAATAGAGTTTAATATACAAAGGAAGAAGAAGAAATAAGAATGGAAGAAGAAAAAGAAGATGAACACCAGCAAAGACCAGTGTCAATCCCCCTTCATCTTCCCACCATCTCCAGTGTTACGGACTTCGCAAGGGCTCGATCCCTGGTCTATCTTTTGCTGTTTTGGCTGCATCCCGTTTTCGGCCTGGCACCCTTTTTCCAAACCCCTCCTTTGGTACCGTAGGATTTTGGACAACTGGCGCCATGCTGCAATTCGGGCGCCACTTTCAAATACTGCATTTTTCAGTTCTGCCCTCGGGGCCTTTG